AGCTAACAACCTTATATTTAATATCAGTGCACTTTCCGACTGATTTGAGAAAATTAATTTTCGACCCAATTTTCGCATTTTTGGTAATTTTTTAATTCATAATTTTTTGCGAAAAATGGCAAAAATTAAAAATTTCCAGGTTGAAATGCCAATCGATAGGGAATTTTATTACGAGTTCAACGAGGTATGACATTCCATATTGGGACCATTATTTACATTTTTATGGCAAAAATACTGTTTGTTTTTGGGGTAAAAAATAATATCTTGATTTTTGGACAAAAATTTGATATTTTCAAAATGGGGTTTTTGCTGTAACTTGTACAAAAATTGTCCAAAATCAAAAAGGCATACTGTTTTATGCAGCTTACAACCGTATAATTGCACTTTCCGACTGATTTCAGAAAATTAATGTTCGACCCAATTTTCGCATTTTTGGTAAGGGGTACCATCATGATTTTTTGCAAAAAATGGCAAAAATTAAAAATTTCCAGGTTGAAATGCCAATCGATTGGCTATTTTATTACGAGCTCAACGAGGTATTACATTCCAAATTTGGACCACTATTTCCATTGTTCTGTCCAAAAAACTGTTTTTTTGTTAATGGAAAATCAGGATCTGGGTTTTTGGTAGAAATTGGGATTTTTTCTTGGAGTTCTTTGCTGTAACTTGGCCTAAAGATCCGTACTATTTTAAAGACAGTTTCTTTTCTCCAACTGACGGTTAGTCATCCAATTAAAAGCAACAGTAAAATCAGGTCAAATAATTGGCACTTTTTCGAACCAATCCAAAAACCTTATCGCTTGGGTTTCGTTTCGGGAAAATCAGCAACCCCGAAAATGGGATGGAAATCAAATGAAAATATTGACTGGATGCTATTTTATTTTAGCGCCGCTCGTCTTCTCCATCCTCCTCCATTGGGGGTTTTCAGGTTTACGTGCCGCTAAAAGGCGCAGCGGAAGATTAAAAACAATTTCCTGCCGGGGGTAGCATCTCAATTTGCTGGCTTCCTCCGGTGCCCCCAAAGCAAAAGCAAAGCAAAAACGAACACAACCTGCGAAACGAAACGAAACCGAAACCGAAACCCAACCAGCGATTCCTAGACCAGCAAAATGCACTCGACGAAGCCTCATAAATACCGAATTAGTTGGTAATTCTATAAGCAACACGCGCCCATTGATGACGACGACTGCCGATGGAGATGGATGGATTCTTGGATTCTTGGGGTTCGGGGTTCTGTTCTGTTCTGTGAAAATAGAAATGAAAATGGATGTGGAAAAGAATGAAATAGAAATGGGTCGCGTGTCTCGGCAGATAACACACGAAATGGCATAGAAAATGAAAAGGGGGCACAAAAGTTTGGGAATCGCAATCGATGGATCGTCCGGATCAGATAGGATGGCCCTATACCAAACCAGACCATATAATATAGCCCTCCATTCGCAATCTGATTGAGCCGCAGCACGTGCCGCCAGCTGGTGCGACAATTAGCCGCAAATGGCAAATGAATTTCCCAGCATTTTCATTAGCATAATTAATAGCAAATCACAAGCGGCGGTGGCAGCGGTCGATGTAGATTAACTCTGAAGTGGGCTCGTTAAAAACGGAGAAAAACCAAGGTATTTATGGCCCGGGAATAGGAAAAAGAAGAGCAGAGCTATTCCACTTTACACAAGTTTATTGCATAATAAGGCCTGACAATCAAAGGAACAGTTCTTTAAAAAGTATAAACCTAAGGAGGCACATAAATAAATGTATATTGCATCGATAGTGATTTTTCAATGATAAGGTGAAAATTATAATTTTTAAAATATTAATATTCTTAGTTTTAGCATATTAAATATTTTAAAAATATATTATAAATATTTATATTTAAAAAAAAATATTTTTTAAAAATTTAAACAAATTAAAAAAGTGTTTAAATGTCTGTTTTTGTAATTTAGGAAAAACCTTTAAAAAAATCTAAAGAAACCAAAAAAAAGTGTTTATTTTTTAGGAAGGTCTAATGTTCTCTGTCCACTAGGAGAATTTAAAAATAATATATTTTTTAAGATATTCTATTTCGAACTTAGACAAACAAAATATCGAAACCAACTTTTTTGCCAAATTGAAAACCCGACGGAAGGTAGGTTTTTGTGGGTTCGCCGACCCCACTGAGGGCACTCAAATTGTATATATTCTCCCTCTAATCCCCATTTCGTTGAGTGTAGTCGTGGGCCGGGGCGTGGCAAGTTTTATGATCTGAATTAATGGTTTATGATGATGATGGCTGACTCGGCTCGCCCTGCCTCGCCCGATTCGCTTTGGACTGGGACTGCAAATGGGAATTGGAATGGGAATGGGAATGGGACTCGCAGTTTGAGCCAGGAGTTGCCTCAATTGTTGTCCAGGCGCTGACGGTCGAAGGGCTTTTTTTTGGGTTCTTTGGGTTTCGGGATCAGCAGACGCGTGCCCCACGGCTGCCAATAAATGCGCGAATGCAAACAAACAGCCGCAGAGCAAAAGCCACAGCCACTGGAAAATCAGAAGTGATTGGCTTGGGGCCGCCAGCGGAATGTTCTGGTAGCCGCCGAGGATCGGGTTTTGTTTGCCCACCCGAATTCCACGGACCAACGACTCAGAGCTCTTTATCCCGAGCAACTCAGGTGTGTATCGGTCGACCAGTTTGGAAGGAGAAATTTATTCCTACGAAATATCAATATAAAATCAAGAAAAACCAATAGAGAACGAAAATTAAAAATATTTTTAGTAAAAATTTGTCTTGATAAAATGTGAAAATAATTAATTATATTTAAAATACGTAAAATGTATTTTATTTTGAATATTAAAAGCATATTTCTTCTATTGATTTTCAATAATAAACTTCCAAAAAATAATTATCTTCCCCTCCACCCAACCAAAATCAACCTGTAGTCAATCAAAAATGTGAATAAATAAAAAGACGGGCTTATGTTTTTTTCTTTATATATATATTATTCATCTGATCATATTTTTGTGAACTTTTTACAATTATTTTAGTTTTTCTTTCGGTTTTATAATTAAAAAAAAAAAGAATTAACCAGTTTGCTTAAACGTTAGCATATAATTATATATATATATATATGTATATATATATATATGGGGATCATATATATAATCATATATATGCTGTATATAGATCCGTTCTTAAATATTAATAACTAATTTTGTTTATCTTTCTCGTCCTTCCAGATCATCTTACATCGTTTTTCGCTTAAAATGTATCCCGCGGAAAAAAAATGTTCTTAGTTTAAGTGAATTAAATGCTAAATATTCATCGATTTTCCTTACATGCTTTTCGTTTATGAGTGTGTTGGTGTGTTTTCTTGTTGGTTGTCGTGTGTGTGTGTGTGTGATTGTGTTTTTTAAACAAATTGTTAAGCTTAAATTACAATTTAATTGAAATTAAAACTAAACAAAAAATTCCAGATAAACTCCATTGAACTACCTTTTGTTTTGTGTCGTGTTTGGTTTAATATTACAAAAGTTTTCTCGTTATTTATTTATATATATATATTTATAAATCTTTTTTAGCGTACTTTATGAAGAACATTTACACACACACATATATATAATTAATATATATATATATATATTTACCAAGAATTTTCCATGTGTTTTTTTTTTAGGTTTTTGTACATTTTTTAAAAATTATGTTAAATTATTTTATAAATATTTTCTTGCTGTTTCGCTTTTTGTTTCGCTTTTGGATTGTGGCTTGTTTTTTATTTGCAATAAAATTTCCTATATATAATATATATCAATCAATCGTCGTGTGTGGGATTCTATCATTTGTTTATGTCATTTCGAGTCGCTTAGTTGCTAAATACTTTTGCATTCCCTTAGTTGGGCCTCCGTTATTACTTCGTTATTATATGCTTTTAAAGTCTGAAATGTTAATTCGTTTTAGCTGATTTGGGTTTGTATTCTCTATATATCTTTTATATATATATTATGTATAAATATTCATGTTTTTTTTTGTTGTTCTTCTTTTGTTTTGTTCATATATAAAGACGACAAAATGATGATTTGAACTTTAAACTTGTTTTTTTTTTGCTTTTCTCGTTTTTAGTAATGTTATGTCTTAGTTTGGTTTAAAGAACTTGGAATTGGAATTAAGTTTTAGCTTTATGATATGCTGAGCTGGCCCGTAATGGTGCAGCTCTCCTTATTTTTTCTTTTTCCGGGCTCCCCAAGGACTCCCAAAACCCCCTTGGAATGGTAATGGTCTACGTATTGCATTTAAAAACTCTCCCTTCGACTTACAAATTACCCTTCGCATGCATTCAATCCAAGGACTCTCCTGGATTTGGATTCTAACAAATGTTTCTCATAGGGGTCTTCCTCGTTTTTTTTTATCACTCATTTTCTTCGTTGATCCTGGCGGCTTAAGCTAGGCCTATAATACCTATGTTTAGTTATAGATTTACGTTTATGTCTTGGGCTGTATAAACTTGTAACTATTTTTATTCGATCTCCGCTTTTTACACACGCTTCTAGTTTACGGGGTTAACTATGTATATATCTCAAAAAAAAATTCTTGTTAACTACAAAAAAAAAAAAAGAAATGGAATAGAACTTTTCCCTTCTCGATCATATTTGCTGGAATGTTATCTAAAAGAGTGTATTAAGATTCTTCTTGGTTCTATAAAAATCAATTTAACCAAATAATATAAGGTGTAATATTAGACTGTGAATTTATACGAGTCAAGAAGAATCTATAAATGGAATAATAAGAATTGGAGTAGTAACCCTTTCACCAAATATGATCGTTAAGGTAGTTCTCAAGTTCTCAAGAAAGCAGCAGAGTGTCGGGGTAGCAAATCGTGCCTAGAACGTGCTGTATCTATAGAGTGTGTAGATATGTATCTGTATCTTAACCAAAGGAGTGATCCAGATGCTGATCCTGATGATCCTGATGATGATTCACATGATTCTGCTGGCTGTGATCCAGTTGTGGGGAACTATTGCTCCCCGATCCGGATCCTGATCCCGATCCCGAACCCTCACCCCCCGAACTACTGTTGTTGTTGTTGCTGTTGCCTCCGCTGCAGTATTGAAAGAGTAGGTTCTACACCATATTCGCGTACTTATCCTGCGGCGACATGTAGTCCAGGCTGTTCTGCGAGAAGGCCTGCGCCGAAACGGTGCCGGTGAACGAGGGCGACGGGGATAGTCCGAAATTGGAGGCCGTATAGCCCGAGTGGCCCATATTGTAGTTGACCTGATTCTGATTGCTAAAGTACTCCATCTGCGAGTAGTAGCTGGGCGCCTGGGCGTAGTTATTCGGGTATTGCTGGTACTGGTTGTGCCAGAAGTTGTACGAATCGTGATTGGACATATAGGCAGCCGAATGGGCGGCGGAATGGTGGGCGGACTGGGCCGATTGGGCGGCATGGGCCGCTGCGGCCGCCGATTGCGGCGACATCGGTGTGATGGGCGGCGATGGGGTGGTGATGCTGCTGCTGCTGTCCATCGGTGTGATATTGCCGCCGGGCTGCAGCAGGCGGGGATTGCTGCCGGCCGCCGAGCCATAGATGCTGTGATGATGATGCACCCCGGCTCCAATATCGCCACCGGCGTCTTTGAGTTGATCGTAGGGGGATCGCAGGAGATCCTGGGAGACGCCAACGCCGCCAACGACGCCTAGGTTCAGGCCCACCGAGGAGGCATTGTTACCGCCCACTCCAACGCCACTATAGCCTCCTCCTCCACCACCTCCTCCGCCGCCCGACAAATGCTCCTTTTTGCACACAATGCTCACCGGACTCACCGACGTGGCCGGCGTGGGCAAGAGGGGCGAGGAGTTCTGGTGGGCGGCCGTCACATTGAGGGCCGCCGCCGCTGCCGCCGCCGAGAGATGGCCCGCCTGACCGCCGCCGCCGCCCCCGCTGCCGCCGCTGCTGCTGCTGTTGGGCGTCGAATTGCCGCCACCGCCCCCTTGATTATTACTGCCACCACCGCCCGATTGATTTGTACCGCCCGAGGCTGCCGCCGCGGCGGCGCTCAAAAAGGAACTGTGGTGCGTTTTGATCGATTGGGCCGCTGCCACCGCTGCCGCTGCACTGGCCGCTGCTGCCGCTGAATTGTTGTTCTGGTTCTGGTTGTTGCTGTTGTTGCCGCTGGAGCTCGACTGTGAGTTGTTGTTGTGGCTGCCCTTTTGGCTTGATTTGTTATTGCCACCGCCGGAGCTCTGTGAGTTGTTGTGGCTGCTACTGCTGTTGTTGTTGTTGCTGCTGTTGTTGTTGTTGTTGCGACTGTTGGCCGAGGAACTGCTGCAACTGCCGCTGCCGCTGGCATTTTTCGAGCTGCTGAGGCTGTTCGACTGCTGCTGCTGCTGCAACTGCTGGCGGCACTTGGCGCGACGATTCTTGAACCACACCTGCAAAAAATTGGAGAAAATATATTTATTAATCTTTGAATTATTTCCGAAGTTCGGTTTTTTGATTTAGATTTTTATCTCAAGTCGTTTGGTCGGCAGGAAATAAAGTATTTTTATTTCAAGGAAACTTTTTAACTCCGTTTTTCTTTTTCTTTTTTCTGGTTTTTAAATTTATTGTGTTTATTACAGTCTAGAAGATCATTTAAAAATTAAATTAAAGATTTTAAATTCATATTTTAATATCATATTTATTTTTCCCTCTTGGAAAAGTCCCCCTCAAAAGTCTCGGTTAAATCAATCGACCATAGCCTGAATTTTCGATATTACAAATTTGTGGCCATTCAAGCAAATCATGTGCCTACAAATTCTAAAGCTCCATCTACCCCCTCCCCCAACTCAAACTCCAAACAACAAAAACAAGGTAAAACCGCAAGCGAGACAACAATTTAAAAAACATAGAAATCGCTTTGAAGTTGGCCCACCCTCCGGGTTGCTTTGAAGTTCATTAGAAGGACACAAATCAAGTTGCTTTTCAAACACATTGCCAAATGTTGTCTAAATTTCTGCTAAAATTTGCAAAAATTCCCAAGCTTAGTGTTGTCAATATTATTATGAAATTTGCGAGCAGTTCATTAAACGGAATCAAAGAAATTGAAATGGGAAATCAGAGCGCGGGCAAAGTCAAATCACAAAAGGGGATTTACGAATGCAAAATGGAATTGAAAATTCAAATTGAATTTCGAATTTCGAGGACGAAGGGGGAGGGCTAGAGAGCAGCGCTGTGCTGACAAATAATGAAATTTGATACGCCTTGTTTAATGCTCTTTTTTTTTGACTGGCTCGAGTCCCCCTTTTTTTTAGTCCCAATCAAAAGGGGGAAAAAATAAAGAAACGGCAATGAAATGCTCGAGTGGCCGCAGCCGCGTGGCAAGTGTTAACTTCAAAAAAAAAAAAGGGAGGGGAGGCGGCATTTTCCGGGGGCGGAAGTGGGTGGTGGGGTGACTGGGTTGCGTGGGGGAGCGGTAATAAATTCAGCTGTTTACCAAAGCACAAGCCATTAGCAAGCAACACCAACCCCAAACAACAAATCACTGAAATAACATTTGCCATGCAGCTCGACTGCTTTTGCCTGCTTTTGCTTTTCGACTGCTTTGGCAGCACTGTTTGTGCTTTGATTTGTGCCGGCCAGAGTTGCCACACAATTTGGGTATTGAAAATTGTTCGAAATTTACTGTTTTTAAATGTTTTAATGCTTGTTTGTTAAACTAAAACCCATATTATCATGTTAGAAAAATCTTTAGATTTAAAAAAAGGTTTCAAAAACTTTCGAACAACAAAAGTTTTAATTTCCGGAAAAACATACGAAAAATGCCCCAATTTCTGTCTTTAAAGTGCCTAATTCTGGCTAGAAAATAGCCAAAAGCCCTGAGCTGGCACTTAGCGGATTGTTTGCAGCCCCTTAAGCATAACAAACAAGGCTAAGTGAATTCCTTGCGCTCGAGTGTGCCGCTTTATGGGCTGTTTATTGTTGTCCTCCGGTTCTCCAGATCTCCGGTTCTTTAGAAGGGATGCGTTTTCCACCCAAAGGGGCGGACAAGTGGGTGGTTTTTCGATTCGTCTGGGTGGGTGGATTGCGTGGGGAGTGATGATTCCGTGTGACAATATAATCGAGTCAATTTTTTGGCCGCCGCCGGCTGTTGATGTAACTTTTCCTCTCTCTATTTGCTGGCAGCACAACAGCGCGTGACTTTTTGCACTTGTTGTGGGTCCGGGAAAACCCCCATAAACACCCAAATGTATATATATATATTTTCCAGCCCGCAAACACCCCCGCATAATTTATTCATTGCTCGCCGGGCAAACTAATTGATGTGGGAAAATTGCAGCCGCTGGCCATCGCACACAGGCACACGCCCACTTTCGACGCCCCCGCCTGACAAATAAACAAACAAACGCAAACACCCGGCAAAGTGAGAACGACACTTGACTAAGGCAAACACTCGGGGCAAATTGTTGGGTTCTTGAGTTGAGGCTGTGGCAATTTCCGGGCCTCAAGGTCCTCGAGCGAATTTCCCCAAACATTTCCGGACAACTATGTGATTATAATATAGTATCTATAATTTTTAGATGCTTCTCTATTATAAAAAAAATATTTATCGTATTGAAAATATTATCCAAAGTTTAAAAAAAATTATTAAAATTAAATTAAATCTTTTACTTTACGAATTATTACAAATATTAACCATTAAAAAGCAAACGCGAATTCTTTATTCCTTTTTGCAGGGAATTACTTATTAATAACTTCTGAAATGTAATGTAATTTTCTCCATAATTTGTATTTACTTGATTCCTGACTGACTTTTAACTTTGCCCTTGGCTAAACACACACATTTAATTTTCCACGTTGCATTAACAAATTGAAAATTATGCATAAATCTCGCCACTCGCCCCGTCTCTTTCTAAGCCCCATATATGCATCGATCGCCCTCTCTCTTTCGCACTAACGGGCACAAGCTGGGGAAAAGGGAATGGGGAAAAATGTGCGAGTGGAAAAGAGTGGAAATTGTTAATCCGCAATGGGAAAATTAATTTTATAAAACAGCTGTGCGGCAAAGTTTTCCCTTCTGCGGCTCTTCCTCTCGCTCCCCTCATTTTTCGCAGCAGACAAATCCTTTTGCAACAAAGGAAAAAAGGGAAAATGGAAAACGTATAGAAAAAAAAAGAAAAAAAAAAAGAGTTGGCTAAGTTTAGGTGCGCTCTCGCCCTCTCCCTCTGTCGCAGCCCCTTGTTGCCGTCTCTTTCTCGTTTTCTCGTTTCGTTCCAACCCCCGACGAAGAACAGCCGAAAGCGAGGGGCGAAAATATGTGGAATCCGAGGTGACAAGGGGAGAGGGAGAGGAAGAGAAGGAGGGAGCAAAAAGGAAGGGGTAGAGCTACAGCTACACATTGGAAAAAGTCTATATAGGAACTTGGATCTGATATGATATGATATGATATGGGGGCTATAGAATACCCATGATAATCATTTAAATCTAAAACTTGAAAATCTGAAATATCTTAAACTTAATATATCCTAAAAATGTTTAATGACTTTATTAGGATGTTCTATACCATATATACTTGGATCTGATATGATATGATATGGAGTTTATAAAAGACCCATGATAATCATTTAACCAATCTAAATCTTAACAACTCCTAAACATTTTTAATGACTTAATTAGGATGTTCTATACCATTTATAGAATTTATAAAGTATTTTAAAGCTTTGCCAAGTTCTAAGTGCTATAAACTCCATTGATTTTCTTTTAGTGCACTTTATAGAAGAGAGAGTGGTTATTAGGGGTGCCGCTGGTTTCCCCGATTCCCAGTTTCCCCGTGATTTATGACTGCCAGCGATGGCAGCCATCCGACCAAGGACCGAATATAAAAAAAAACCCCCGATCTGCACCCTCTGCAGGGAAACTCAGCTCAAACGAATGAAAACATTTGGGCGTAAATGTTTGCTCTGTTCTGGTGCAGATAAGCTGCGTAAAATTATTACGTTATTTGTATTGGTTGCAATCAACGCCCTCTCACTTGGAATCTGGAACCCATACCATCCCCCGGATACTCGACGATTCTGGATTCTGGTTACTGGATCTCGCTACTGGGCCATAAAGATGCCTATCATTCAATTAATATTTACCAGGCCTAAGCCCCCGGCCTCCTGATTATGACTCCGATTTCGTTGCGGGGATTTTGATTCTGTTTCTGATTCTGTTTCTGATTCTGCTTCCTCCTTTTACGGTAATGATTATTTATGCGATATGATTTTCTGTTCCACTGACAACGTGGTGACCTTTCAATGGGGACCCCGTTGCGAGGACTTATAAAGAAGATACGATCCCTTGAAGGTGGTCTATTGACATGTGACCTCTTAAAACGGTAGCATATCATAAAAGATTTATTCTGTATATAAGAAACTATCCAGCCTTTAAACTCAAGTTCCCCACCCATTCTAGTTTCTCCTCGGGCTAATTGAGTTGCTTGGCTTCCTAGCAGTGCAAAAACACGGAACCCCAAACCCCAGCAGTCTCAAGACCCCAGACCATTGGATCCCCAATCCCCAGACCCCAAACCAAAAGCCAAAACGAAAACCAAAAGCCAGACGCCTTGTAAAATGCAAACGAATCGTGTTCGTGTTCGTTCTCCCCACTTTCCCCGCTTTTCGGCATTTCCATTTGGGGTTTTGTAAGGTTTTTCCTAGTTTTCCTGCCTGTAATCTGATACGCGGTCGAGTGTGTGGGTGTGTGTGTGTGTTTTTATAAGAGTGGATGTGAATGCATTGACATGTTGCGTCACTCGAAAGACAGCACAGTGGGTCAAAGTGGGGCTAAGTTCGGATATATGAGGTCTATAACGAGGGTAGGGTAAAATATTTAGTAAAACAGGATAAGCGTTCCCAACTCATCAGTATATAACTTTAAATTTCTTCATGATTTTCATATTTTTCAAACCACTGTGCCCAAAAGAACGAAACTAGCCAAGAAGAAGAGACACATGTGGAAAAGGAAAATCTATACAAATGTCAATTCCCAGCTACTCCCCCTAAGTATTCACTTCCTATTCCTATTCCTACTCGCTTCTCCGGTGTGCATTACTGGAATCAATTGTGTAAAAAACGTATCTTTCAAAAGGGAAACAATAAAAAAGAGAAGTCGATTCATGGGACATGTGCAAGGTGTCCTTGCTGCCGAGAACTCGGTTCTTTCTTTACGTCCATCCATTCATTCTGTACGTTTTCATTCCCGTTTCCCCCTTGAAAATAGAACGTGTCGTTTTTCATTCCAAGCCCAGCAAGACGACCACTGCAGGGGCTTCCTTAATCGCTGTTGCTTTTTCCTAACTTTTTCTCTTTAAAGTCGACGCATTCTCAACTGCTTTTCTTCCAAGTTATGCGACTGTGTTTTAAAGCCAGTTCTTAACTTTTTGGTAGCCCTTAAAGCTCTTTTTTTTAACTATCTATAGCTGTTTGCTACTTGTTGCATCCTATTCCTAATGTCCCTATCTACTTTTTTGTATAACTAGTTCGGCTCTACACTTTTCCTAATGTCTCTATCTACTTTTTTGTATATCTAGTTTGATTCTAGACTTTTCCTAATGTCCCTCTCTTTTTTTTTGTATAACTAGTTTGATTCTAGACTTTTCCAAATGTCCCATCTACTTTTTTGTATAACTAGTTTGATTCTAACCTTTTCCTAATGTCCCTATCTACTTTATAGCTTTTTTAGACATGGCTGCTTTGTGTATAACGTTAAATAAGTAACTTTTGGAAGTTCCTAAGCATTTGTAATATACAATTTTTACCGAAATTGAATTATATGTTCCCTCCTGAACTTCTGCTTTTGACCCTGCAATGTCACTTCCTTAAATTACACGGACAAAGGCAGTGGCGAACAAAAGCAAAGCAAAAGCAAAGCAGAAGCAGAAGCAAAGCAAACAAATCGATTGACAAATCAATGTAGTTGCCAATAATGTTTATTTTTATGCCTCTGTGTGTTTTCATTGCAGTTTCAGTGCCCAAAACGATCCATGTTGCGGCTGTGTTTGCCCAAGAAATTACCAAAAGGAGATGACAGTTTGCCCAGCAACCGGAAACTGTGATCGAGATCGTTTTTGGGCCATTTGCCAGTTGTTTTTCGGGCCAACGGCGCTAGGGAATTCTGTTTATTTAGGCCCGATCATGGAGGACCGACACCTAAACAAACAGACGGTGGAATAAAGATTCCAACCCAAAATTGAGTTGTACAATTCGCTGTCATCGTGCTCATCTGGCTGACGCTAGAAATTAGCGCAAATTATGCTCGTCTAATGCCTTGAGCAAACTCGAGTTACGCTTCCATTTCCCATTTCCCATCCGATATCCTGGAGGGGTGACTTGTCATACCCCGCAAATACTTTCGGCAAATACGGGAAACCATTTCGACTCAAAAGAAGGGGGAAAGACTTCTGGGATGCCTGTCTATTTGCATTGAAAGTCATCAAATCTGTGCGCTCCATATGTGTTTATGATGGAACGGAACAGAACCACCCACCCCCACTATCCTATATATCCTCACCAATCTCGACAATCTGTTCCGAGCTGTTGTAATTTGTTTGTTTTATGGATTTCCTTCGGCCTGCGCCGCTTTCGCATTCGCCGGCACTTTTCGAGGGCATTTCGCCTAATTAAACCAACTATACAAGTGTATCAGTGTATCAGTGCGAGTTTTAGTGGGTTAAAAAGCTCACATGTGCGGCTAATGGGCGTGTGCCCAAGGCGGCGAGGCTTTCGAAGTCGAAAAACGAGTTAGCAGGTCAGCAAGTGTTTGTATTTGCCTTTGGGGGCGGGCAGAAGTTAAAGGGAAATGCGATACGGCCAGAAATTAACGCACTTTGTTCGGGAGAAAAAGGGGAAAGAATTAACTGATTTTATTTGTGAAATTTTTCATCTTGCAATAATCGCTGATATTATGGAAACCCTTTAATGAATTTAACTAAAACTGTAATGCCTCCGAAACAAAATAACTACTTTAATCACTGATTTCAAGGAGGCTAATTTATAGATTTTAACGAAACCACACACAATCCTTCCTTAGATAAGCACCTATATTTCTGCCAAGATTCATAACGATCCAACGTTGGATCACTGAGTTATGTGAGAAGCTTGTTTGTCATCTTGGAATATTTACTGATATGTAGGAAACCCTTGAATGTATTTAACTGTAGCTTCACACCATGCTTTCTTAAGTAGCTGATCCCCTGGATACCAAATTTCATATTTCTCCGCAAAAAAAATAACTACTTTAATCACTGATATCAGGGAAACTGATTTATAGATCTTTCCCAAAACCACACACAATCCTTAATCAAATAACCAACTATACTTTCACATCGAAGGCTTACCTGTACTCTGGATTCGGGCAGATTGATCTTGAGGGCCACCTCCTCGCGCATGAAAATGTCCGGGTAACGGGTCTTGCCGAACAGCGCCTCCAAGACGTCCAATTGGGCGCGTGTGAATGTGGTGCGTTCGCGACGCTGTTTTCGTGTGTTGACGCCTGGATAGCATAGATCGCATAAAGGGGAGAAAAAAAAGGGGTAAAAAATTATAAGATTTTAAGTTCACAGCGATAGGTGATTGCCTAACCGAATGTGCTGAAAGTTAGTGCGGGCTAGATTAAGTATACGCCGCGTGGGTGTCGTGACTTTTCCCAGTAATATTTTCGGTTCCGGGCAGTAACCGTTATTTTGCAGACAGTACGAGTGCGAGTGTGTGTGTGTGTAATATAGCAACCCCCGAAAAATGCGACGGCCAACCCCTAAAGGAATAAAAAGGACTGGCAAAGGAACCAACCCCCGTGCAGCAGCCGCCCCAAAAACTCGACTCCCTTTTTAGCGAGTACATAATATATATATATGGCTGGATATATACACATTGGAGATATGTGTGTGTGTGCGTACTAAGCCGCCGCATTGTTTGCTTTGTCAGCTCTCTCTGTCGCTCACCCTCGAAAAATTCGAAATACTCTAAAACTCGAATACCCCGAAAAGCATCGAGATCGAGACTTTGCCATCGGTCGTATCGGCCCACTCCCTATATTTATATTGTATTTCTTTTTGTCCCAGAAATACACCCCCCGACTATCGACTATCGCCCTCCCCGTCGCACCCTATCAAAAATTAATGAGTTAGTCATTTTGGTCATGAATTTATAAATTGAATAAAAAACTTTACTTCACTCTGCAGCTGCCGCATTTCGTTTCTGTTTCTGTTTCAGTCTCGTTTTCGCTTTCAAAATGGTCGCCAACTTGGTTTATTTCTTTATATCCACAAAATTAATTGCAATTTGTTATGAGTGTGTGTTTTTTTTTCTTTTTTTTTTTGGGATACTTAATATTTTGATTTTCGCCTTGACTTTATGGAGAGAGCTTGTCGTTTAATTAACTGCACCTATAAATTTCTGACTTCTTTCAAACATTTTTTATGGCTAATTTATGGGGTTTCCAGGAAGGTCTCTTGGTTTTTTGATCACACAAAATAGTTCAAGGTTTGAGGGAAAAAATATGATTATAAAAATGTTTTTTTTTTATCATTATAGGTTATTTACTTTACTTCCATCTTAAGTCGTCTGTTACTTTCTTTTCTTTAATTGTTCCCTTCGCTATGGTCTCTTTCATCACATTATTGCTTTATCGTAACCACAACTAACTTATATAACAAGTTAAAATTCTCTCAATTACTTGGCTTATTACAACAGTAAAGCGGGTACAAGAAAAAAGCCAAAAATTTATACGAAAAATTGATTACGAGTATGAGATTTTTGTTTTCTTTTTATCATTTTTCTTTTTTTTATGATTTCGTCGTTTTTCTTTATTTTTATTTTGTATTTTGGCTGTTCAATAATTTTGTGTGTGCGCTGCTTTGGCAGAGTCTTTTGTTGGCATTTTGTAGCCAATTTTTTTGTAGCCTGACTTTTGTCAGGTTTTGTTTGTCATTTGCAGCGTCACCGAGCGAAGCGAAAAACTGGAACCGAAAAGCTGAATCTAAAGCTGAAAACTTGAAGATAAAGTCGGAGAGGAGGCACCGAAGTCTCCGTCTCCGACTGCCCGAAACTGCCCGAAGCTCATTATTCATTTTGACAATTTAACTGATAATGATGCAATATCGATGCGAACTGACATTGAAAGGCAGCAAAACGAAGAGGAAGCCTGACTATACACAGAGGGAAAAGTAGAGTACTTCTGGGGAAATCAATCTATTTAATGATTACCCTAATTACTAATATGTTTTTTATATAATTTTTAAATTCCTCAAAAAATATCTATAGCTACTATATACCATTTAAAATCTCGGGAACCCCTTAGACAAATGTAAAATCGATCTATCTAATGATAATATATTTTTTAAATCATTTCTGGATACTTCTAAATCTTATTTATACCAAGTAAAATCTCAAAAACCCCTTGGAAATATTTAAAACTTATTCCCCAGTGTAATCACCTTCAAGTCCTACCAACTTTCAGCACATTTGAGCGATCTGGTTTGCTTACGTATTTGTTTATACCAAAATTGTCGATGCGATATTTACCCCACATACCTTGGGAGAACCCGACGGCCTCCAGTCCGTGTGGGAGGCCGAAGGGCCCCAGCGAGGGCATGGGCATGCCCGGCGGCAGGGGTCCGTGGGGCACCGAGTGGTGCGGGTGCGGACCCCCGTAGCTGTGCGGATGGGGGCCCAGATCGCCCGACTTGAGGAAGCCCGCCGCCATCAAGGCCTCGGTCGAGTGCAGCGCCACGTTGAAGCTGTGTGTCTCCACTGGCCCCAGGCTCCGATAGTCGATATCCGTGTCTATCGGATGTCTATCGATGGATCGGTCCACTATACTGGCTATATGGTACTCCACTCAGATAATTCGCTGGTTGTGCTTCTGATCTGCGATCTGAAAGATATATCATTGGGGATTATTATTAAAAATTGAAAAAATAATATTATACTTTATCTGAAAGATAAGTTATGGTAAATCCACAGCCTTCGTGATCCCTTTCAAACACTTACTTATCACTCTATCTGCTTAATAATTTCTAAATCTATTTCAAATAGATAGCCCGTGCAAACAATTATTACTCGACAAAAGATAGGAAAATCGGTGCGAAGTAATGCCACCAAATCACTCACAATTCGCCAATTATCTGTGAAATTCACTGGGCATTTGGTATTCCGAGGATAAGTTGCTTGTTTGTTGTGGGTTAAGCTCTTGCCACGAGTTCCAATTACATTCTAAGACCGAGAGCAAACAGAACCGCGACTTATAAGGCAGGTCTCGGGTGTCGCCCTCTCTATCTATCTATCTATTTCTATCTCTGTCTCTATCGCCCACTCACGATCGTTCCTTGGGCCTAATCCCGAGGTTTGCCTATCCTAGCCTATGATGTAAAATCTTCTAATCTGGGCAACGCTCGGTATATAGGGAAGATTACCCAACCGCCTCCAAGACGGGGACCCGAATCCCAAGTTACCGAATACCAAACACCGAACCGATCCGATCCGAAGTCGCGTTCGGGCTTATCTTGCGGTTTAAAGATCTTTGATCTGCGCTTAGCCGCAGGATTATTTCAGACACTTACTACTATGTGTATATATATCTACGGGGAGGACCTCGTCTGTCCTGATCCCGGACAATGGGCATTAAGATTAAGCCAAGAGGAAAGAGACAAAACTAGCCTGGATTAAATTCCCTTTGTGATATATTCCCTCTCTCTCTATATATATATATACTTTTGTCAGTTTTCGTGCGAAAATAATTAGCACTGTTTCGGGAGAGAAAGAAAGAAAGTGCAGTTGAAAAGAGGAGACAAGCGGTAAGGTTGTAATTGCGGAATTAGCACGAACACCTCGCTTTGTTTTCGAAATGGGAACTATTTGTCACATATATATTCTCGGGTATATATTCTCCACACACACGATGAGTGTATGTAAAATTTGTTTTGTTTTGTCATGTCGTTTTCATGGCTCAATGCATTCCGGCCTCAAAATGCAGCCGCAAAAGATCCCTGAGATCCCGAGATGCGAAAAAGCGTGTGTGCAGCGAAACCGAAACAGAAACCAAAACCGAAACCAAAACCTAAACCCTGATATAGCACCCGATATGATGACCCGATCCCCGATCCCCTGAAAGACCCTGTTTTTAGTTCCTCCGACCATCCAACCATCCAACCATCCGAAATCCCAATTCCAAATTACATGCTCACGCGCACACGCAAATTAATAACACATCTGGCTTCAATCCGTGGGCCAGGCAGGCAGAAAGAGACGGCGTAACACTCTCTATATGGCGATAAAGGATTCTCCTTTAACCATCCAGGATTAAGGGGAGGGTTCTCAACTAAACGGAAGCTCAGATCAGCAACAAAGCTGTAATTGATAGTATAGTGGGCCGGGTTTTGAAGTTGGAAAGTTGATTAGGGATAATCAAAATATGCAATTAGAGTATTTAAGAAAACTATCCAAGTCTGAAAGAAATACTGCTATCTTTTTTTAATAATTTAGTTATTATTGTGATAATCGTTTTTAATAGTGGAAATAATGATGAGAACTGGATTAATATTTAATATTAATATTTTTCAACTCAACTAAGGTTCCCATGGCTCTCTCTCTTTTTCTCTCTCCTTACCATTAACTAAAATTTCACAAATGATCTGTAAAAAAACCTCCACAAACTCTCAGCATCTGTCAAAAATCAAACGAAAAAAAAAACAGCCGAATGTGACACATTTTCGGAGACAACCCGGGAATGGAATGGCGAGATCCATGGCTCTACGTGATTTTCTAGACATTTTTGCCTCCCTCGCTGATTATGAAAAATCATGGTAAATGGTAAATGCAAAAAGAGCAAAATAAAAAATACAAAAAAAAAAAAACAAAACCCCGCTGGCTCATTTTTACTTCTTCTTTTCGAAAGAGAGAGACATCCATTGTGAGTTCGAAACGAGTCGAGACAAAATCATTTGGGCTGGACATATATCACGTACGAACGGCAGACACTTTCATTATAAATTCCATTCGGCAATTTCTGATTTTCGGATTTTTTGGTTTTCCTAATTTTTCTGTCATGTTTTTTCGGATTTCTTTCTGATTCGCTTGAGATTCTGAGATGGTATTTTTTATCACTCTCGGTTTCAATTTCCGCTGTATATAGTACAACATTTCAATCGTTGCGTTTGTCCGCGTTTGTAATTACGGTCAAAATAATATTTGTTGGATAAACAGCCGGGAGCCAGAGATGAAAAAAAACAAAGTGAGGCTACCGTAAGATTTTTCGGGGCCTTTTCAGAGACGGGGGTTCCGAACGTAACCCTATATAAACCCGCACATCCAAGTGTTTTGGTTCGCTGATGATGCTGACGGTCCCTGGGAAAGTCAAAGAGTCGCAGAGTCGCAGAGTCGAAAAGAAATCGAACTGCCACTTGGCTACTGTTCATCTGGGCCATGGGAATGGATCTTCTGGTTTCGTCTCCGCTTGCCACATGATTAATGGTGCGACTTTGCATAACTTTTAGTCCGCTTTTGGCTCTGACTAATATTAAATAGCGAGTCTCTATATCTATATTTATTTTTAAGTTAGTCAGTCAGTTAGTTTGGGGCCACTGTGTGCAGCTGTCAGGAGTGCTAACCTGTCAGTCCCCAGCGAAATCACAGTGGTAGTCGCAGTCTAGTAGTCGTAGTCGGAGCTATTAGCCGCCTTAACAAGCCCCATAACAACTTAATATGCCCGGGCATATTGCACATTTTCATTTCGCATTTTCATTGAGCACACTGACCAGCAGGCATATTTTATTATAATATTTTTCCAAGTAAATTCGAACCATGTATTTAAGAAAGTCTTGAAGATTATTTGCCGTCGCTATCTTTAAGATAAATAATTATTAATAGGTTTTTTTATTTTGTATATTTTTATAATATTGAAAGCTCTATTGAATTACTAACTGTTTTTTAAATTTAATACTTTCTAATTTGATCAAAATTCTTCTTTTATTTTAAGGAATCCAAGATCCAAAGTTCTTCTCACTCTTTCAAGCATCCAAAGTTTTCCATTTGCTAGCCAGTGTAAACTTCACATTCGTTAGTATGAATAACGCGTTATGGCAGCGGCAAAAGAGAGGGAAGATGAAAAAAAATGAAAAATGCATTTCTCAGGCTCATTTACATTGAGCCGCGGCTACTGGAATATGCTATATATATGTATATACCTTACTGTACACGGTTTATATGGGTTGGCCTGGCTTACTAGACAACTAGACATGGTCCGAAAACCCGAAGTCCGAGTTTCTGTTTCTGAGTTTCTGCTTCTGAGCATAATAAGCCTGTCTGCCTGTCTGTCTCTTTGGCAATAATGCAACTTAATAAATGCAACAAAGAACGAGAAGTGCCTCCAAGTATGAAGTAGCAAACTGCGGCAGTCACGTCCCGAAAAAAGAAGGAGAAAAAAAAAAGAAGAACGGGTTGGAAAAACTCGCAGCTACTAGAGTCGCGCTGCCATTTCTACGCAAATGCATTTTGACATTTAAATTTGCAATTTTCGCATAAAATTATATTTATTTATTCCAGCTGGCTTTTGGCTTTGGTGAAAAGTGCAACCTTGCTGCCGCTGGAGGATCGCGATTAAGATGATGATGTGGATGTGGACGCGAATGTGGATGCGAATGTGGATGTGGATGTTGATGTGGATGCCAGCTACTGACTTTTGACTTTGACGTTGACGTTGGCTGAAGTTTAATTAAGCAACGTGCCAAATAATTGAAAAAGTGTGAAGATTTGACAAGTTTAAGAGGCATTAAAATCTAGCCTCCACATATATATATATCTTTATACATATAGCAAGTGGCCTAGAAATCAAACGACTAACTGTTTGTGCCGCTGCGACAACTTTTCCACTTGCCCACATTTTTTTAATTAGTTTCTGTATTTTCGCCTATCGCACGGCAAATTATTTATTATTTACCTAATCGAATTGACACTTGAGCAGACGCCGGTGTAATTAACAGATACGAGGCAGATTGCTCAATCACAGTAATCTATCGTCTATAGATTAAGCATAATCCCCCCGACTTGTCGAGAGACTCGACAAAGAGACTCCCTTAAAAATGGAAAATATATGATGGATATACTGCATAGCTATAAAGCTAATTTATTAGTTAACAAATTGCCTTTGCGGTGTTTTTAATTGCTTTCCCATTCAGCCAACAATTAGCGATTTGACAGGGCTGTGAGATAAACTAAAAATAAATCAAGTTAAACGAAGAAAATGTGCATTTTTAATGGTATAGTTCAAGATTTCTTTTGAATAATAATTAAAAAAGTACTATAAATGTGTTTTCCCATTAGAAATATTCCAGTATCCCAAAAGTTTAATATTTTTGGGATTTCTTCAGTTATAACCCGATCGATAACTCTTTTTTCATTCACAAACCAAGTTCCTGTCAAACAAAAACCAATAAATTTCCATAAAATTGGTTTCAATTCAACAAATTTGTGGCTTTACATCATTTTCTCTGCCTATTCCCACAATTCCATTCAAAAAAGAAGGAAAAATAACATACAAAAAATGCCCAAAAACTATATATATTGAATGAATTGCGCTTGTTGTTTTGGTTACTGTTGTTGCCGTGTACAAATGATTGCATCATGGACAGTGGAACCAATAATAGTAAGAAAAAAGAGCAACAACAACAGCGGCTAGAAAAACTTATTATTTGACGCATTGTCAATGTGATCTTGATAAGTTCGAAACTGGAAATGGAACCTGAAAAAATGAAATAATGAAATAAAACCTCCGTCTGAGTGATTTCTATTTAAATGGCTTTGTCAACGAAATTTGAGAAGCGAATGGCAACAACAACGCCAGCATCGCGTAATGAGCAAAGAGTGAAGAGAGATAAAAATTAATAATACAAATAATTGGTAGGGAAAAAAAGTAAGTAAGTGAGTGAGTGAGTCCAAGAAACGAGGCAGCCACAGACCCAAATGAAACCGAATGAAATGAAACCTCACTTAAGGCGAGGCGACGCCAAAAGAGATTGACAAAAGATGACGACAAAAAAAGGCAACACCCGATCTCCCAGGTACGAGCAGATATATACCTAACCTATCTATACCCGGGCCAAGTGTGTGTGGGAGTTCGAGTCCAAGTCAAAGTCGAAGTCGAACCGAAAGATTGGGGCGTGCTAGGGAAGCGGAACAATGGATACCGTTCCACGGTGAAGAGATCTCCAGATATTAGAATACACATCGAAAAAAACTATGGAATTGGTTATACTTCTAGAACTGCGTGTACTTCGACATTTGATTAATGCCCTAAAGGTTAAATCTGAATTACAAGGCATTTGAATATGTTAAAATAAAATATAATTGATAAAGGAAAAAATAAAATCATTAACTAAAAGCTTGCTACTTTTATTACTTTATCAGTCATTTTTTTCAGTGCACCCTAGAGCGAAATATATGGATATCCGCGATAAGGTATCAAATGTGTCGCGTCGCGATCTCGGCGACTTTCAATTCACAATCGAAAACGCTGGGCGGATGTTGTGAATGAACGAATTGGCATTGGTACAATGGTACATTGAATCATTGGGCCATTGAGACATTGCGGCATTGCGGCATTGAGGGGATCTAGGCTGGGCCAAAAGTCGTGGCGTGGGTGAGACCCAATCAAAGAAAGATCCCAAGAGATCCCCACAAACTCGAAATACGAATCCGAATCCGAGTCCCAGCTCAACTATAATTCGGTTGGAGAAAGATCATCGGCTGGGTGAAAAATGAATCGACTTGCATATTAATTTCTGTTGCTTTTTGTTAGAAAAACCATATGCAAATTAATAATAAGACAGAACAACAAAGTAGCCAGCGAGGAGTCAACGTTTTATTCAGATATTATAATTTATAGCCGCCGCTTTGAAATTAGACGATCCGATCGTTCGGGAAGTGGGGAAGTGGGGAATATGTGTGAATAATGTGACCTGAACGGGTCCGTCGGCTGGCTTCTATTGTGTATAATATTGGTTTTCTTAGGGTTTCTTCGCCGCTGCCCCTATCATTTGGTAGCCTTTTTCTATATCACATTTCTCGCATCGATTTTGTCGGGCTCGCTTTGCTCTTGGTTTTTTGTTTTGCCTAATTAAGGGAGGCGGCCTTAATATGCCCATTAAAATTATGAAAATCATAACGAATCTCTCGAATCTCGCATTTTCTCACATTACGATGCGGACATTAGTCATAGGCGGAATTTCCTGAACGAAATCCCGGTTTATAAGGCGATATTACAAGGAGTTGGAGTTGGAGCCAAAATCAAAATCGAAGGTCTTAAGTGAATGAGCATGGAAGATATAGTTCTATTGCTGGACCAGGGAGTCCCCAAAATCAAAGAATTGTATTCCAATTTAAGATTTTTAAAATCTATTGAATCTACATCCAAATTAAGGGGTTTCAAAAGTTATGATATCCTATCTATTCTAATACATTTAGTATAGAAATTAATTTCAGCTCATGTTTGAAAGATCTTGTTAAGCTTTTTTGATGATCTCCTGAAATTTAGATCATGTCTTTGTTAAACACGAAAGACTTGTATCTTTCAAATTTACCCAATAGAACCTCCGAGCAATTAAGTAAAAATCAAAGTTCAAGTTGAAAGCTTCCAAAAAGCGAAAGCATTCTTATTCGGAACTAGAAACCTAATATTTCTATTAAAACTAAGAACTATTTATTTGAAACCTTATTCTGTAAACATATTATTTTGCTTTACCATTTATTGGTGAATATTTATTATACTCAATTCTTAGGGAAGAAAATATGAAGGAGGTATCTCTACGATAGCTTGAGATTAAGAATCGATTGTGGAAGATACAATTTTAACAAACTTGATTAAGTTGTGAAGTTTAATAAGCTAAAAGTGTTTCTTTGAAGAAATTAATCTATATACAATTCATTAATGTAAGGTTTTTTTAATTAAATTAATTACAAACTATAATAAACTATTTAGATCTTGAGAAGATAAATCTATATGTCCTGCCTTTTTCACTAATATGTAAGACGCAGTACAAGATCAGACTTATAAATACCATTGAGATCTGGAGATCCTAAGATATTCCCGCCCCCATGAACTACTTAGGTCTACCCGGTAGATTCGCCCAGTTAATCCCAAATGGAATCCGTGCTTATCTCTGCGATCCACGTTCCTTGGTGGATTGTATTGTATATATTTGAACCGATTTCTCGATGATATCGGCGGATTGCACTCACCGAAAAAAAAACACAAAGAAAACTAGAGGCAAAACGGTGCTGTATTCCAATGGCGACTTGTTTTCAGATCCAGCTACTATATGGCTATAGCTTGGGCATATATATATATAACATATATATATATATATTATATGTTTTGTATTCCAGAGAGATGTTTGTTTTTTGGGGCGATGTTTATTGTTTGGCACTGGCAACACGGTAAAAAAACAGATTCTCGTCACTGGCACTTGGATATATCTGTGTTGTATATCCCTTATTACTTAGTATATTTCTCTCCGACTTGTTGTTGTTGTTTCTCAATAGCTATAGCTATGGAGCTATATAGCTTTTTGTTTTGATTTTTGTTTGTTTGCTTTGCTTTGGCGACGGCGAATTGATTGTTGTTATTGGCCTATGGCTTATGGCTTATCGGCGAACGCGGCGAGTAGCGAGAGCGATCGAACGAGCGGCGAACGGGGCGAATGAGCAACTGAGCAACTGAGCGACGGACGACGCACAAAAACAACCCGAGCGGCACGAAAGTTACTCTGGAAATGAATTGCGGTACACCTTCCACGGACGACGGCAGCGGCGGCAGCAGCGCAGCGAGCAGCCAGCAGCGGGCAGCGGGCGGGCAGAGCAAAAGTCGTTCGACCAGAGTCGGCAAAAAAAAAAAACAACGTCGGAGGAAAGAAGCAGAAAAAAACAACAAACAAACAACTGGTGGTGAGAGCGAGCGAGAGCGAGAGCGAGGGAGTGAGAGAGAGAGCGAGCGAGTGTCTGCTTTTAGCAATGGCTGCCCAGCTCTCGTCCGTGCGTCAGAGCGAGACAGCCATGCTGGTTCTCCGTTCCAGTCGCTTGCTCTCGCTCCATCTCTGTCACTCGCTCCGTTCAACCTCCATTGGCAAGAGCGAGTTAACTGCTTATTGTACCGTTTTCCGAGCAGCTGTATTTACCTCTGTGTTGTTGCTGTCCTGGCCAATGTGTGTGTGTGTGTACGTACGTTTGAGTGTGGAACCACACCCCAAAAAAATTCAGTTCAACAACTTTGTTGTTGCCACAGAAAACCCAAAAAAAAGGTGGGGAAAAAATACATAGTCATAAAAAGGAAAAAAAAAGAAATAAGGTACCTTCGTATTTTTGCGCGGCAGCAATGAAATTTTAATGAAAACGACAAGGCAGCGAAAACAACGCAAAAATTTGTTAGCTAACAGCGAAAGATAAGGAAAAGGGGGTGGCGACGGGCGCCTAAAGGACGCTGGTCAGTACTGCTACTTTTGCTGCTGCTTCTTCTGCGACTCAAATTGTCATGCACACACAAAGAACAACAACTAACGGCGCTCGTAGAAGAGGGAAAGAAAGATCAAGGGAGAGGGAGCGAGGCAGCCACTCACACTTAACACGCCCCCTCTCTTTCGCCCCAATGGGCGGCCCCATTGTTCAATTATCATTTACGCAAAACGAGGCGAAAAGTTTCGAAACTCAAGGTGCGATTGATTTTGTAGCAGGATTATTTTTTTATGTAATTAAAAATATTTAATTATTTCATTGTTATGATAATTTATTATTTATTATATATAATTAAGGTAGAAAAGTGCAGCAAATTTGAGTTCATAATAAATTTGTAAGTACAAAAACTGAAAATTAAAGAATGATGTCTTAATTTAAGATCGAATAAATTTAGTAACTATCATAACTTATATATTTCCCTCCCTACCATATATTTTAAAAATGTATCTTTACTGACAGCCGAACTACAAATGATATAATCAAGCGACCAAAACTTTTTTTGCCCAAACTTTTTTTTTTGTATATTCTCGCTTTGTAGCTGACGCAGGAAAAAATTCGGAGGGTTGGAGAATTTGGGGGACCAGCGGAAAAAACCTTATCAAATTTTTATGACAATTTGAAATAGCTGACGACAGTTGTTTCGCCCTCTCGCTCGCACTCACGTCGTTTGGGGAGAAGGCGGGCGAGAAAATGTTGCACAAATATTTTATGGATTTTTCTTGTTGAAAATGCTGTGTTTTTTTCCCTGCTCTCGCACTTTTTCCATTTCCAGGCGGGCAAATTAAATTGTTGCGGCTAATTGATGTGTAGATGAAACATGAGGCAATTACCCTTCGAGGGGAAGCTTAGCGCACAAATTGGGGGCCCCAACAACAACGGAAAAATCCGGAAAACGGGAAATTTGCGGAGGACCAGGAATAAAATAAAACAAAAACTCATTTTCATTAAAAATGTTGCGGAGAACTTTAAAATGTTTTTGGAGTAAAACTCAGAAAAGCAGAAAGTGCATGGAAATGAAAAAGTTTTGAGTTGAACACAAAAAACAGGAATTTAAATCAAATTACAGCAGAGATTCGAAATAGAAAACTTTACTAAATACATATATTCAGTTTGTTTATTTAAAACTAAGCAAAGCATTTGAATAAAATAAGTGAGAAAGGAATATAGCATAAATTTATTATTAAATATAATATATATATAAAAAATGTAAAATGTACTGATTGTTACTTACTTACTTCTAAAATTACTTACTATCATTACAGATTTCAAGCTTTTTAACTATTCCCGTTTAAAAAGCGTATCTGCAACACACAAAATTGTATCTTTCAATCCGCACTTTTTCAACGTCAGCGAGTAAAACCCTCAAAAATGGGCAAACAAAAATGCAAAGCAAGTAAAAAACCGATTTGAAAATGAAAATACTCAAAGTTGAACGCACATATGTACACGTGGGTGTACTTTTGCCATCATTTTTTATTTTCTCCCTTTTTTTCTTATTTTTTTATTTTGCGAGTCGCCAGCCGCGAAAAGTTCGCCGCCATTTGCCCCAAAACATTTTTCATAGGCGACAGTTTTGATTGCTCCGTGGGCCAAAAAAAAAAAACAGTGTGTGTGTGTGGGGGGTTTGGGGGGTTGGGGGGTGTGTCTTATGTGTGGGTGTTCAGGTTTCCAACTAGAAACGCAGGCAACTTGCCTTGCTTTTTACTCATTTTTTCCAGATTTCTTCCCCCCATTTTTTCACCATTTTTTTTTCCTTTTTTGCTGGCTGATTAACGACAATTCGTTTGGCTGATTTTTTATTGCCCAGCACATTCATTAGCCTCTGTCGTAGGCGCGTGGCATGCAACATGCACTGAAAGAAATTTTTAGAAATTATACAAGTTTAGTCCAAAATTAAATTAAATTAAATTGTAATTTTTAGCTATTTATTTGTTAAAATTTGATGTTAAAACTTTGTTATTATTCATTTTTTACACACCAACATTTTGGTAAGTACTTTTTTATTTACTTTTTTTAATTACAATTTTTTTTACTGTGTAAGTAGGGTGTCCACTCTCGTTCCGTGACATCCCCGTCGTTTTTCTTGCGAGCCAGTAAATTTCATTAGCCTCAGCCGTTGTCTCTTTTATTGTCTTCAGATGGGGTTTTCTGGTTGTCGCGGCTATCCAAACTTGCGGGCGCGAAAGGGCGTGGCAGTGGAATAGGTTTAATAATAATAATAAGGTGGCAGTGGGGGCGTGGCATAAGCAGCCCGATTAAATAGGCTCGTTGCCCGGGCAACAGGCCATCAAAGTCCAAGGAGTTATACTTCTATACTCGTACTTTTTGATAACACGGCTAATTAACAATCCATTGTGACAGTTTTTGACAATATTAAATCCAATTACAGTATGGTTTTTAATGAGGCATAAACACTGAAGAAAATAAATCTAGAAATATATAAAAATTAAAAGTAAGGTCTATAAAGTTCAAGACCCCGTTGGGTTGATCATTCTGATCATTCTAATCCCCGAGATGGCAACAGTTTAAGTCAATATAAATGTCAAGAGATCAGTGGAGACCCCGAAAAACGAAACTGAAACGGAAAAAAAACCAGAAGCCCTAAAGGGCGAGAGGTTCCCCGATTAGTTGGTTGTGTGGCAAGTGCAGCGGATTCAGATTCAGATCAGATGCAGAGATCTTGAGGATTTGCCGCCGTTTCATTGCATTTTCGCCAGTTTCATTAAGGCGAGCCGCAGGATCAATGCAACTGGAAGGAGGCTAGGTAGGCGTAGAGCCCAGCGGGGAGGGTCTCGAGACTCGAGATCCCAAGATCCCGAGATCCCGGCCTTAATGCCCAAGGTTTATTCGCAGTGCGTGGCCCGATGCGATGATTATAATGGCTTGCCTTTATGCTCGCTGATGGTTTTATGATGCGGTTAAGCGCTCGCAACCGCAAAGTGGCCGCCGCGCACACGACGCAGGACCAAGTGGCAAGGACCAAGCGGCGGGACAAGGACTCCGAGTGCACTGCGAGAAAAATAAAGACAGGCAGAAAAAAATATATAAATGCTAAATAAAGAAATAAAATAATTATAGCTATAAAACAAACAAGAAAATAGATTTTACAGGAATTTTATTTTGTATTATATTCAATATTTATTTAATTATATGAATATAATTTAGTTCAATTTTTGGAATTCTCCTTTGAAGTTTTAGGAAAATCAAATTCTTAATATTAATTAAATTGATAATAAAATATATCAATATAATTTATATTAATCTTAAGAAATATTTTCAAGAATTTAACAAGTTATATTTCTGATAATTCTTCTATGAAGATTTAGGAAAATCGTATTATTAATATTAATTACTTTAAATTCTATGTTAATATTTGCTTTATTACCCTAAATATTATATACCTTACATTTCTCACAGTGCACGACCAGGACTCGCCCGTAGCCCGTGGATTCAGGCAAAGGACTTTCGCGTAAGCTGCACAAGTTTTGGGTAATGCCTTGAGTACCTGTGCGGGTCCTTCGTCCTCCGTCCTCCGTCCTCCATCCTCCGTAATTCGTCCTGTCTTGTCTTTTTCCGCCCTCGCCTCGCGTGCGACATAGCCAAAGGATTAACCGCATGCCAAAAGGATGGACATGGCCGAGATGGTCCAGGACCGCCGAGGACCACGCTGCGGTTAGCAGGATAAAACGCCTTTAATCGCCTTCATTGTTGTCCCAGTGCGCGGAAACAATACAAATGCGAAGGGACAGACGGACAAGTATTTAATCTCGGTCCCAAACCAATGCAAAACGAACCGAGTCGACCTGCGAAGTCCTCGGGGAAGGACTCTTCTGACCTGACCGACCAGAAGGTGCAGATCAACCTGACCCATATGGAAAACTTCAGCAGCAGGACAAGATTCAAGTGCTGAATAATTGAAATAATAATAAATAATTAAATAATGCAGCTATCGTTTAAGATCATATAATACCTTATATCATAGAAATAATCCCTACTTTTTAAAGCTAAATAAATTAATAACGCTTACTATATCCAAATTAATATTCGTATATTCATCAAGATCAAGTTGATTGGCAACCAAGGATTCAATATCTCATAGATAGAACACTAACAGATGCAAATCAACCTGACCTGCCGATGGCAAAGTGACCTGCTGCCAAAGACCGAAACTGACCTATCCGTATAATAAGCCCGAGAACTAAGCCCCCAGGTTCCAGATTCCGGATTTCGGATCCGAAAACCCTTTT